AACAGATTAAAGGAACGATACAATAGCTCCTTTCAAACAACTAGTCCTCATCCAAGAAAAATTAATATCGATTTAAAAAGTCTTCTGCGCATCTAATTACAGATCATGCACAGCAAGCCAAGTTGTTGTTTTCTCTCCCACATGTTTGTGAGGGCAATAAAGTTCATTGTTAAAGACCAACCCATGAAAGCCAGTCAAGTTCTATTAGGGACTTATTTAAAAAAAAAAATCTCAAACATTTATGGATCAATTAAATAAAATATGATAAATAACATTGAATTAACATACACGCCAACATCTATTATGCAAAATAACATAATAAAGATCCACCAAATCAACTATCAATGGCAACATAAATTTTCATATCTCAACCAAGAAGCATAAATATTTTTTAAAGGGAAAGACGAAGACAATAAAAATAAATCATATTTGATGTAAGGAGAATAGCAACAAGAATCTCAAGCAAGCAAAAAAAAAAACCATTACAATTTCATTTTATTTCCTGTACATACCTTCACTTCTCGTCTAATCAGCATAGGATAAAGATACAAAGCATTTACATAAAATCTGTGCAACACAGATCATGAGTTCATCTCCCAAAAGTTTTCTTAAGTCATTAGCAACTGCACATAGGACTTCATGAAACCATATTTAAATTTTAAAATAATAACCCTATAATTTTCAGGTCACAAGTCCTGTATGAGAAAAGTTGAGGGTTGCATTAGATAGTCAAGAGCCAACGTAAAACTTGTCGAATGATCATGACATGAATCCTTTAATACATATGTATAAATGCTGGGAGAGATGCGTTGTATGGCCTAAATACAATGAGAAGTGTGCAAAAGTCGCTGCATCGGCGCCCGGGTGCAGTGTTAAATAGGCAAGGGTTCACACATCACGGACAGATGTAGGCAAAAAAACTAGTCCATGAAACTAAAATTCATATAGGATCTTGGAATGCAGGTTCTCTTACATACAAATTAATGGAATTAATTGATATTATGATTCATAGGAAGATAAATATTTTATGCATTCAAAAAAATAAATGGATTGGAGAGAATGCTAAGGAGATTGATAGGTTAGGATTTAAACTTTGGTATTCTGGTAGAAGTCGTAATATAAATGGCATAGGTGTTATTTAGATAAGAGTTTGAAGGATAATATTATAAAAATTGATAGAATTGAAGTCAAAATTTTGTTTTGAAAATTATTGTTGGTGCTAAGATTATTAATGTTATAAGTGCTTATGCTCCACAAGTAGGTTTGAATATGTGCTTAAAATTAAAATTTTAGAATGACTTAAAATAATTAATTCAAAAGATACCTCTCAAAAAAAGAGTTTTACTTGGATGAGATTTAAATGGGCATATTATTAAAGATGTAAAGGATTTTAAAAATATTCATGGTGGCAATGAGTTTAGAATGACTAATGAAGGAGGTAAGACTATATTAGATTTTGCTCTAACTTATGATTTTGTAATTGCTAATACCTTATTTAGAAAAAGAGATGAGCATCACATCATTTATAAGAATGGATATAGTAAAACTCAGATTGATTATTTTCTTATAGGAAAAATAAATCATTTGGATTATAAAGATTATAAAGTTATTCTGAGTGAAAATTTATATATTCAACATCGTCTATTAGTTTTGGACCTTAAGATGAAGTGGTAGAATATGAAAAATATATTAAAACGTTATTCTAAGATTAAATGGAGCATTTAAAAAACAAAAACAAAATTATTTTTAAGAGTAAGATTCAAGATCTTAAGAATTTGTCTGTGCATGAGGAAGTAAATGTTATGCGGGAAAAAGCAACTAGTAATATTAAGAATATTACAAAGGATGTGCTTAGAGTTTCAAAAGGAAAAATTATTAATAATAAAAATAGTTGGTGGTGGAATCAAAATGTGCAAGAAAATATCAAAAAAAAACTTAGCTATAATTATTAGTTTAGATGTAAAAACTCTAAAAAATTTGGAAAGACATAAAGAGCCTCATAAGGTGTCTAAGAAAACAATTTGTGATGCAAAAAATTTTAGCTTTCAATGATTTATATAATAGATTAGATTCTAAAGAATGCCAAAGATATATGTATATATTAGCCAAACAAAGAGATAGGAGTAGTAAGGATTTGATTTAAGTAAAGGGCATTAAGGATGAAGATATAAAACTGTTTTTTTAGAAGAGATATCAACAAAGGTGGATGAGATATTTTGCTAAGCTTTTCAATGGAGATTGTGAGAATATGATTGACTTTAGTGACCTCTCACTCTGAATGAAAATAGAGATTTTTATTTTTATCAGCATACTAGTAAAACTGAAGTTAGAAAAGCTTTAAAGAAAATGAATTGTGAAAAAACTAGTAGACCTGATGATAATCCAATAAACGTATGAAATTGCTTAGGAGATGAAAGAATTTATTGGCTTACTAAACTTTTTAATATTATTTTGAAGACTAAAATTATGTCATTGAGTGAAGAATGAGTGTGTTGATTTTTATTTTTAAGAATAAATGTGATGCACATAATTATGCGAATTATAGATGAATTAAGTTAATGTGTCATGCTTTATAACTTTAGGAGAAAGTTATGGAGCATAAGTTACGGCATGATACTAATGTTTCTCAAAATTAATTTGGATTCATACCGGATAGGTCTCCTATGGAAGTTATTCATTTATTGAGAAGGTTGATGGAGAAGTTTAGAGAAAATAAGAAGGATCTACATATGCTATTTATTGATTTAGAGAAAGCATATGATAAAGTTTCAAGAGAAGTGCTATGGAGATTTATAGAAAAGAAAGGGGTTAATAATACTTGTATTTAAGTCATTAGGGATATACATGCAAGAGCTATTACTTGTGTTCAAACACAAGGTGATTTGACCCATTATGTTTCTATTTCAGTTGGATTACATCAAAGATCAGCCTTACACCCTTATCTTTTTACTTTAGTCATGGATGTTCTCACTAGACATTTGCAAGAGGATGTACATTGGTGTATGCTTTTTGCTGATGATATTCTTCTTGATGATAAGACTATAGAGGGAGTTGAATGCAAACTCGAATTATGGATGTCAAACTTAGAGTCTAAAGGTTTTCATTTGAGTAGATCTAAATTTGAATACATTGAGTGTAATTTTAGTAGTAATAGATTTAGTGAGAGGTTTGTGACTTTGAGCAATAAAGTCATTAATAAGTGTACTAGTTTTAGATATTTTAGGTCTAGTGTTCAAAGTAATGGTGAAATAGATGAGGATATTATTAGTAGAATTCAAGTTAGATGGTTAAAGTGGAGGAATGTTTCAGATTTGTTGTATGATAGGAAAGTACCAATCAAACTTAAGAGAAAATTTTATACAATGGTGGTGAGAACTGCAATGCTTTATGGACCAAAATGTTAACCATTAAAAGAGAAGCATTATATTAAGTTAAGTGTTACTTAGATGAGGATGCTCACGTGGATTAGTGGATTTACTCTTAGAGATAGGATACAAAACGAGCAAATCCATGAAAAGATTGGAGTAGCTCTAGTGACATAAGATTAGAGAGAGTCACCTTAGATGGTTTGGTCATGTAAAACAGCGGCCTTCTGATAACCTAATTAGAATAGTAGATGTATTAAAGTTGGCCTATGTTAAAAAATGTAATGGTAGACCTAAAAAGACTTGGTTAGAAAATATTAGAAATAATCTTTGTTTATTAGATTTAAATGAGAATTTGACTCTTAATAGGACACAATGGAGAAAAAGAATTCATTTAACAGACCCCACGTAGTAGGATAAAGGTTTAATGTTGTTGTTGTATAGGAATTAAATTTAAAAACATGATCATAAATAAAGCTGACAAGAAAGTTTAAAGTTATAAGTTCCTTCATCAAAATAAAAAGAGACATTAAAATCAATAGATAAGAACCAAGGGAAATCCTATTAAAGCCTAACACCATGAATTTCACTAAAACCAATAACTTTTTCCAATCCTCTTTTTTGAAGAAAAAACAGGGTTGAGACCTTTTCCTGGGTTAGTAAAATAATAACATAATACATTTTAGAGCTTTATCGCAGAAGGAAAAAGGAACCCAACATGATAAAAATTTTGGCTTAAAACTGAACAAACTACCAACATTTTGCACATCAAATGTTTAATTAGATAAATATAAAAAAGGAATACCCAAAGTTTTCTATACTTGTAGCTTTTCCGTAGCTTCATCCAGCAGCTTCCTCTGCTTGTATTATAATGATTATACTTAATAAAAGAACAATCCCTTCTATTATAAAACTCTTCTAAGATAGTTCAGAGATGAAAACTATATGGTAAAAGAATAAGTAAATATGCCTTTTTTCAAATTTGCAAGAAAGCTTACTGTTGTAATTTTGATCAAATAAACACTCATTTAATGATAAGATAAAGCGTAGTGTTTTGATCAAACTTTACGGGGCAGTTTGGCAACAGGATTTATGCAGGATTTGAGAAGGATTTATGCTAAATCATGCCAAACAAGATTTAAGCAGCCTGTAGATCTCACGGCGGGATAAATCCTCTGTTTCCCTCTTTTTGCTGTAAATCCCAGATTTACTAAATCCTGGAGTTCGTTGGTTTTACGGGATTTCGCTGAAGAAGCGGGCAAAAAAGGAGAAAGATAGCTACCTTTACAGCGAGCGAGCTCCCGTCGCTACCTCGGATCCAACAGGAAGAACGGCGAACTGGAAGGAAGGTTGTCGAAGGAGGCGAAACCCTATCTAACGCGAAGCAGGCAAAGTCGAACAGCGACGCAGAAAGAAATAGAAAAGAGGAAAGCTAAGGGGCTGTTTGGTATCGGATTTATCGTGGATTTAAGTCGGAATTAGGCTAAATCCAGCCAAACGATCTTTGTGCGCGCGTTAAATCCCAGGATTTCATAAATCCCGAACTTAGGGATTTACGGCTTAAATCCCGGATTTAGAGGGTTCGGTGGATTAACGGATTTAGCCGAAGAAAGCACGCGAAAGGGAGAAAGTTACCTTCACAGCCAGCGAGCTCCCGTTCTTGCTTCCGATCAAAATGTTGTAACTTCCGATCCAACAGCAAGGGAAAGCCGTCGAAGGAGCGAAGTCTAACAGGCACGAAGAAGACGAAGAAGCCCCGCGTGCAATCTCTACACCTCTGCAAAGCAACGAAGCCGACCAGCAACGAAAAAGAGAAGATGAAATGCAAAACCCTTAACGCCTCAAGGTATTATTGATTAACTTAATTAAAATAATTTAAATTATTAATAATTAAGTAAATTAATTAAATAATTAAGTGTATAATTAGTGCATAAATTAATTATCTAATTTAAATTAATTGCATAATTAGTAATTAAATATTAATATAATTATCTTAATTAGTATAACTTAAAATTTATATTATTAAATATATAATTAATAGTAAATATAATAATTAACTAGTAATTTATAGTTAACATTTTTTTTTTTTTTGAAGAAAATACATCAAATTGCATTAGAAAAAAAACAACAATACAACCTCACGTCACACCAAGGATGCTACTATCCTCCTTCAAACAATACAAGAAAGAAGGAGGAATAAAATCAAAATGAAGACTATCCCAAAAAAGGACCCATTTAACGCCACATTAGCGCAAATATCCACTAACTTATTACCATTTCTACCAGAGTAAGAAAAACAAACTTGCTTAAAATTCAGTAAAAAAGCTAACTCATCTTCAATAACTCTGCTAACCTCCCATTTCTTAACAGACCTCTGAAGAACTTTAATGATATTGATGTTGTCTCCTTCTATGATAACCCCTTGTGCTTCAAACATCCATTCTTTGATCACATTCTTCAGGTACAACACCGCAAGCATTTCCAAATGAGCCGAATCCCAATGCAAAAGCTGATAACCGAATCCTAACAGAAATCTCCCAGTGTCGTCTCTAGCCACACCACCAATACCAGCTACATTGTTCTTTTTTATAGCAGCATTAACATTAATTTTTATCCATCCGGGGGGAGGGGGATGCCAATGTATAGACAGCAATTGCTGGTTAGCATTCCAGTTATCCGGCTGAAATTAATGAAATTACTCCTTAAAGCATATGAAATTGCATTAGCAGCTATATATGTCTCAGAATCTTCTTTGTCACCATGTACCAATTTACATCTGCTCTTCCAAACCAACCAAACCACTGTACAGAACATATTAACCAGCAAAGCATTCTTTCCTTGCAACTTCTGAAGTTCAACTATACATTCATCCAGACTACTAAAAACCGGAACATTAAATCCCCAGTTATTTAAAGTAAAGATAATTTTCCTGAGTTTCGAACAACTGCTCACAATGTGGTTCACGTTTTCCTCCTCATCACATCCTCTTGGACATTCAACCAAAGTACTCAATCTACTTCTCAGAAGGAATGAAAAATTCGGCAAGGAATTGTTACATATTCTCCACCAAAACAGATCAATAACTGGTTTCAGCTTAATCCTCCTCATCCAATTCCATTGATTACTAACCTCCACATGATTCATACTTGCTGACGAGGCCAATGCTGTGATTGATTTACCAGAAAATTTCTGTAAAAGTTTCAGCTGATCATCCCGTCTACTATTATCAATCGGGATATTAGAAATGATATCAATCAGATGACTTCCAAAAGTTTCTTTCAATTTGTCAAAATTCCACATACCATCTGAAATGAATATGCTGAGAGGGAAGTCTGCGTACCCTTGAACATTAATAAAGGTAGGCCACATAGCAATGCATCTATCCAAAATCCATGTATCATACAACCAATTGATTGAATCACCATTAGAGATCTTCCATCTAACCACCTTTCTCAAAAATCTAGCACCCATAGTAACAATTTTCCAAGTTGTTGAACACCCAGTCCTAACCAAAGAGGACCATATATCATCTTCATACTTAGCTCTCAAAATCTGGTTCAAAACAGAATTTGGGTTGCTAAAAAAATTCCAAGCAAATTTGGCCCGAAGAGGACCAACTTTTGATACAGCCGAGAAGAGACCTCTACCACCTTCACATTTTGGTTTACAAAGCAATTCCCAATATACATAGTGAATTCCAGCACTTCCATCCCCTTTACTCCATAGAAAACCTCTACACATCTTATCAAAATCCTTCAAAACTCTTAAAGGAACAAGAGAGAGAGAAGACATGAATAAAGGTAAAGACAAAAAAGCAAACTTTACCAGGACTAATCCACCTTCAAGAGAATTATTTTTTGAACCCCAAGTATTTAATCTTCCAGCTGCTGCCTCTAAAAGATTATGGAAATCCGCAGTCCTCAACCTCCTCAAAGCCATTTTAATACCCAGATAATTGATCTCCTTAACCTTTTTAAACTTAAGAATCTTAATCATTTTCCTCTGAACTCTTTTTCTTGTATTTTTTCCAAACAAGATCATGGATTTGGAGTGATTAACCATCTGGCCAGTCCAATCACAATAATTGTTTGTAATCCTCCTCAACTCCTTAACATCCTTCACCTTAGCCTTAGAGAAGATAAGAATATCATCCGCAAACAATAGATGAGAAACTTTAGGTGCTAATCGAGAAACAGATATACCCCTATTAATCCTTAAACAAAGAGCATCAGACAAAATTTTAGAGCACAAAATGAAAAGATAGGGGGATAATGGGCAACCTTGCCTAAATCCACACTTCCCTTCAATCCAATCCGTCTTCTTCCCATTAATCAAAATGCAAAATTTCGGATTAAGCACACAACTTAATAAGAGTTCCCTAAATTTAGGGGGAAAATTAAAGTGAATGAGAACTTGCCTCAAAGCATCCCATCCCATGCTATCGTAAGTCTGCTCCATATCCAGCTTGATTGCTAACAATCCACCTTTAGCTTTGGACCATCTGAATTTATTGAAATTCTCTTGAGCCACCAACACATGTTCAGATAAGGAATGGCCTTTAATGAAAGCCGCTTGATCTACCGAAATGAGTTTATGAATAACCTTCTCCAATCTGTTAAGGAGCATTTTTGCAATAACTTTATAGATAGTCATGCAAAGACTAATAGGCCGGAAATGAGAAGGCTCTTGAGGACACTTGATTTTCGGAATCAACACAATCAAGGTTTCTTTCCACGATTGTTCCATATTACAAGAGGGCAGGAAATGATACACTGCTGCCCACATATCATCCTTAATCACATTCCAAAAATCTTTCATGAATGAGAAGGTTATACCATCTAAACTAGGAGAAATATTTCTTCGGAATTATCCACCACCAATTGAAGTTCTTCTATAGTAAAATCAGCCTCCAGCAACCCTTGATCTTCACTGCTAATCAAATAAGAAGGATTCAGCCTCCCATCCACTGAGCAAATCCTATGCTGCCACTTCATTCTGAAAAACTCAAAAAAAAAACATTATGTATAACAGATTCCTCTTCTGATATACTTCCATCTCTCTTCTTAATATGGTGAATCCAATTGCTATTCCTTCTTGCACTAGCAAAGGCATGAAAAAAGGAAGAATTACTATCTCCTTCTTCCATCCATTTGACTTTAGCTCTTTGTTTCCACCAAGCGTTGAGACGAGCTAAAGTGACGTTCAGTTCATTGATCTTGAATCTAAGCAATTGCAGCTTTTCCCCTGAAATACCATTCTCCGATTCCTCCATCTGTATTTCCTGGATTTCTTTTTTTAAACTATCTCTTAGCTCATTTAAGTTCTGGTGCTTCTCTTTACTCCAGAAGAAAAGACCTCTAAGAGCCTTTTTGAATTTCCAATTAAGAATCAACGCCGGATCACCAACATATTTTTTATTCCATATCTTCCTTAATAAAGCTGTTGCACCATGATACGAAGCCCACACCTCCTCATACTGTATATCCCTTTTACTGATTTCCACAGATTTAAACATCTCAAATAGAATCGGATAATGGTCCGAGGCAATACGAGAGATATGTTTAACAAGAACAACTTGTAACATATTCATTGCCAAGGAGTTAATTAGACACCTGTCTAATTTTTCAAGAATGCGAGCACTACCGGATTTATTGTTGCACCATGTAAATCTTGGTCCCAAAGCCTTAACCTCATGCAGGTCATTATTAATCAAAAACTGCTGAAAATCCTTGGATCCTTGAGACATATTGAATTTCCTCCCACCTCTTTTCTCATCTTGAGAGAGAATATAGTTGAAGTCACCACCAATTACCAAAGGTAAATCAGCCAAACAATGCTTCTCCAGACTTTCCCAAAGCAATTTCCTTTCTTGACTATCCGTACTTCCATACACAGAAGCAACAATCCAACTTCCCTTACCAATCACCTCCAACTTCCCCACCACTAGTTGAGAAGAAGCCTCCAAAACTGAGAAAACTGCAAAGTCCTTCCTCCATACAATCAAAAGACCTCCTGAAAGACCATCAGCTGGAACCATGAAAAAATTCCAGTTGCTTCCCAAAATCTTCAAAATTTGATTGTTATCTAAAGAGCAAATCTTTATTTCCAACAAAACAACAAAAAAAACTTTATAATCCTTCACCACTTCCTTGAGATATAGAGCAGCCTCCACTTTCTTGGCTCTTCTACAATTTCAGAATAATAAAGAACTCATTTTCTAAAGATGGGGGACGGACCCCCATTCCTTTTAACTTTTCCACTTTCACCCTTCCTATTAAGAGCAATAATATTACCTGCACCAAGAGATTTGAGTTCTTTAGCCAATTTAGTTTTTTTATCCAAAGAAAGGTTACCCTCCAAACTCGATTCTGAGTGATTCTTGGCCATATCAACTTTCAGAACATTCATTGGACTTTGCTTCTCTGATTTATCTTCCTTTAAAACATCCCCTTCCAAAGTAGATTCCAAAATTTCTCCTTCCTCCATCATTCCTTTATCAACTACAGCAACAGGCTCCACTCTGTCTCCCTGCTCCAAATCAGATAACGAACCAAACTTATTGTTAATCTCCACTGCAATGCTCACTTCATTACCAGTCACCTGTTTGGCATTAAGAGACATACCCTCATCTGGATTATCTGCCACATTAAGTAGTTCAACATTATCACCCGCTAGATAAGAATCCTCCCTCACCTCATCCAACTTAGCTCCATCCTCTTTAACAGCCGAAGAGTTAAGATTTACATTAACAGAAGCAACAACTTTAGGAATAAAAACTTTTTTCATGGGAGCAGAAGATCTCCTGGGAGGGAATTTTTTATAATTCTAA